AAATAACCCTTCCACAGAGGTGTTAGCAAAGTATAGGAATTATTGTAATGGTAGAGTTTTGTGGACTACACATGGAAGAGGTGTTGGCTCCATACCTAGGTCGTAGAGGGAGTGATCTCAGCAGGCAAAAGGGATTGGGGGAAAAGAACTTCCTGATGTCTTGCTTCTCCCTTCCTCCAGTCCTCCTCTATTCTTCCCCTTGACAATACTCCTACCCCCCAAAAAATTTAGGGGAAAGAACACACATATATGACCTACACAGATCAATTTCCTAGCTACAGAGCCAAGAGAAGAGTGGAGTGGTTTTGGAGGTCAAGCTAAAGATGCTCTTCACACGAGCCTATTCAGGACAATTGAGAGGCAGTTCTAGGGCTTTTTGTTTTCATTGAGTTTGTTGGTACTTTAAAAGTATGAAGTACAGTTGCATTCATCATTGGGATCTTGTACCTTTACATGACAGGTCTTGGTTCTCATTTCTTCCCCATACCCCTGCCCTCCCTTCACTCCTTCCACCCTCCCTATTTACAAGTCTTAGGACTTTTGATAGGACGGTTAGGAAATCCCCGCCCTCCAGTACTGGGGATCAAGCTCAGGACCTTGTGTTTGTGAGGCTGGCACAGCACTGCTGAGCTAAATCTCCGGCCCAGGAAATTCATCATAAGAATTTCTGTGGGAAAATAAGCCTGGAGTTCTTGGTAGCCATCTTATTACCTCTCTGGAGATAGGAAGCAAAGCAAAGAAATGGGCACAATTTCCTGGTGATATCGTGTAAGCCCTTTTATCCGGTAAGACTTGAAAGCTATCCCTAGGATTTTCAGCTGGGGGCAATAATTCGTACTCTTCTCTAGCCAAGTCAGATTTCTATCAGTTGCATCTGAAAGATTCCTGACAAATGACCAATTAGCCTAGTTCTACACACTACAGAACTCAGTACATGGAGCCATCAAGATGATCTCCTCCTGCTACAACCAGCAGTGACTCCCAATTTATTCCACCAAACCTAGTTTCCTTGGTCTGAGCAGATGCAGGCTCCTTTCTTCCCATAAGCCTCTCCATCTGGAGTCTCAGTTTTGTCTGTTTCCTGTGTAGTCCTAAGAGATCTAGATATCAAGGACCCAGAGGCATCATTGGGAAACATTGGGAATTTTATGAATTCAGAGTATTTGAGAGATAACATTTCAAAAATATGCAGAGAAAATAATACAGGTCCCTTGCAGTTGGGCAAAGGGCTAGATTTAATATAGACCAAATTAGATGACTTAATTGAGATAGTAAAATATTCACAAAGTTGGTAAATGTTAGAACAGAAAATATAATTGCATGTGAGACTACTTTAACATAAGGATAGCAGCACTCCCTGAGTTTAGGTTGGATAAGAACTGTTCTAAAAGATACTTAGCTTCAAAGGACAATGAATAAGTCCTTGGTCAGCATCTTTGATAGGTGGCCAGTCCTCTATTTACAGGGAACTCTCTTCTTAGAGTGTGTGTGCACAAAACAAAATCACCTTTAACATTACACTTTTTAGCAAGAAAGAAAGGAGAAACAGCCTGTAGGTTGAAGGCCGGGAGCAATCAGTCCTTTTCAGATAAGCGCTGCAGATTGACCACGTCTCCAGCATCCTCCCCATCTATCCAGAGCAGAGATGAAAATCCCAGTTTGCACTGCAGAAATGGGAAGTGGGGTCAGTGCAGCAGAGCAGAAAGAGCATGTGCATGGACCCAGATGAGGTGTTCAGTTGGGATCCTTCCATTCATAATCTGTGGGACACTGGCTTATTCTCCCTGAGCATCTGTATGAAATGGAGCTGATAGTACCTTTTTCAGAGCATAGTTCTGAGGAATGAACAAGATCAAATGAGCAAAGCTTCTGGGGCTTTGCTTGGTGAATATCTTCATAAATGGCAGGAATACGAACAATGATGACTAATCTGGACAAGGTTGATCAGCAGCACATTGAAGTTGCAACTTGAAGCCATACAATGCCTCATATATTAGCAGGTGTTAGCTCTTTTCTTTTTTCTGTTTTTCCCAGGTGTGTTTAGTCCCTCAGATAGATCCTGTAGTAGTTGTATTGGAGGAATGCAAGAATTATAGTGGCAGTGACAGCTCTAAAAAGTCTTAGTTTGCCTCTTTGACCTAGTAACTCTATCTTTGAAAATTAGCCTAAGAAATAATCTAGAAGAAAGAAAAAGTCACCTGTGCTAAGATGTTTACTATTGAGTCCTTTATGACAGTAAAAAGCTACTACTACCCCATAATGAGGTCAATTCAATATGGTAATTCATCTAAATGGGTTATTCTGTGGTCATTGAAAGGATGAAAGGGTGACTTCAAAGAATACACTGTACAGCCACATGGAAACCATTCATGATTTAATAGTAAGTCAAAAGATACAGACAGGGCTGTGTCCATATTATGACATACTATGACACAGGTGTGTGTCCATATGACAGGTACCATCAGGAGTTTCTGTCCCCTCAGTGTTTTGTTTTCATCATCTTCACACACTAGATGAGTGTATTCTGATGGGGACATTTGCTACTCTATTATAATATATTGTTTGACCAGATATAAATATTAATTATACATAAAATTTAAGGCCAGGATTCTTAGGAGTAGCAGAAATTATGATGGATTTTGATCATGCATTTCAGCTTTTGTTGATGGAGGTTATACTATAAATATTAAGGATAATTTAAATTAGAATGAGGGAATTACCCTCTTGTCTCCATTTATAATAAACATTAACAATACTTTAAAATAGAATGATGACACTGTCATTCTGTATTTCACTTTGCTTAGGAAGACTGAATTATTGAATATAATATATTTAGAATAAGGCCTCTTACAGAGTAAATAATAAGAGCTGGTAGCATTGTCACACAGTACGTACTAGGCATTATTCTTACGTGAGTTAATGCATATAATGCTCACAACAGTGTAGGGGGATATTAGAGCTTCAGTTGGAGAGACGAGGAAGCATGCACAGAGCTGTTAAGCCCCTTGTCCAGGGTCACACCAACAACCAGAGGCAGAGCTGGAGTTCCCTCAGGGGTTCAGGTGCCAGAGCCTTGCTCCTCACCTTTCTACCATGGGGGATGCCTATTAAGCACATAGCTATCTATCCTCAAAGCTTCTGGAAAAGAAATTCAAGCGGCCTGCTAAGCTTTGAAGGGAAATGATCTTTGAGTCCCTGGGCCCTCAGAGAAAAGGTCATGAGAGGTGAAGAGGCAGGTGAAGGGAACAGGCCCTTGTTTTGCATCATCTGGATTGAAGAGAGCTGGCCCGAGAGGTCTCCTGGGACATAACCCCTACTCTCCCAATTCAGAGTAGTCAAGTGCCTTGACTTCGGCTGCCCCATTAGGCTTCTCTTCATAAATAATCACCACATCTTCAGACAGGAGAGTTTGTAGAAATGTGTCACTGTCCCCCAGCTCTGCCTGAGGCAGCACTGCCCTCTCCTCTCTGGTCCCCATAGTTTTCAGAAGACTTCCAGTCTCCTTGGCTGGTTCTGATCTCCGTGAGACAATGCAGGGCATGGGCTTGGGGTAACCTGCGCAAAGCCAGCTTGAACTCAGAAGCTGAGCCAAGGACAGAGCTGCCCCAGGTGAAGGAGAGACTTCCAAGGAGCAGGGCCCAGAAGGAGCCAGCAGTCAGGGGCATGACCAGGAAAGCCCAAGTGCTGGAACTGTAGGGTGGGACTGAAGGCCAGATGCCAGGCAGCAACCACAGGAACCACTCTTTCATTGCCTCTTGGAGGAGTGATTCCAGTGGAGGGGGCACCCAGAGGTTTGGCTGAACCATGGAGTCCTCACCTGAGACCAAGAGGAGAGCTGGCACTGCAGAAACAAGTTGAATCAGAAACACATAAGATGCTGTGGTCTAAAAAGGGAAGTCCAAGGTTCACCAAGCGAAGGGGCCAGAAGTAGCTGTGGCGGCTGGGTTGTGGAGCCAGCAATCTGAGAACCAGGGAGATGAGGGCAAAAATAGGAGGTCCAGGGTAAACAGAACTGGCTAGAACACGTGCTGTTTGTGGCTCACCCTAGTGGACCAGCTGGGCATGGTGGGAGTGGGGCCTTCTAATTTAAAGGGCCAGAGCAAGCCTCAGGGTCCAGAAGACATTGAATCCAACCCAGCCTGGAAGCCTCTGACAACAGCTCAGGCTGGGTCTGAGAAGTCTGGGTAGGTTTTCTCCTGAACCTGCTGCTAGTGGATCAGATTGAGTCTACAGGGGAGGGGACTGCTATGCTGGAGATAAGGACAAACCTCAAGGGGTGCTAGGGTGGAGGGACAAGTGTGGGCAGTGTGTCTTTGGCTCCGTGGGCCAGGCATGCCTAGGCCTGCACGAGAAGGTAGGGCTCTGGGAGAGAGTGGTTGGTGAATCACACCTCCCACATGTGGAGCAGATGCCGGGCTGCCTGTCAGTGGATTTGACCATGGCCCAGATCAGTTGTCAGGCTCAGGCCACTGGCCCTGTTCCTGGCACACAGAAAGTCTGGGAACTCACCCTCTATGAAAGGCCTCATGGCCCCACAGAACCACATCTGGGTGAGCAAATGTATTTATTCTCTGAGCCAGGCTTGACAAGTTGATTTTATGACCCATGAAGGCAGAAGGTGAAACGCCTTGATCATTAGCTCACTTCCCTTGTGGGCGAATCCAGCAAGGAATCCGAGCTGTGGAACGGGTTTCTCCAGTACACACAGACCCGCCTGTCAGTGTAAGTTTGGCTGCTCCATTAAATTCTTGGCACCTCAGAGGGTGTCCCTGGTTCACCTCTGAGGCCATGTGCTTTCTCTTGCTGGCTTTTCCTGGAACAGCTCAGGACACGGGCACCATGCAAAGACCACACTGTTTCAGGAAGGCCTAGATCAGGCTTAACCCCCATGTAACCCCAACCTACCATGGTGGCCCGATGGCTTATGTGGCCTTTGTGTGTGTCCTTTTAAATTCTAGCTTATGGGTCACATGACTTAGGCTTCTTCTGTCCTAAAATAGGTCTCTGGCCACATCTCCAAAGGAGGGCCCCTGAAGCGTACACAGAGGGCTGGCCGCCAAGACTGGCAGAGTGAGACAAGTACTTGAAATAAACGCAGGGTGTTTGCTTACGGATTCTTCTCCACCACCTCATGGGTGAGTCAGATGACTTCTCACCCCACATTCTGTTTTTACTTACTTTTTTAGTCAGTGGCGGGGGTGGGAGAATTCTGTAAAGTTTAAAATATACCCTCCAAATTATATACTTTTGTCTTTGGAGTTTCATCTACAATAGGGATCCTTTCATTCTTTGATGTGGTAGGGAATTATTTTTGACTTTTTCAGTTTCATTCTGATTTAAGTCATCCTGGACTTGGAATGGGCTCTGGGAAATAGGTGGAGTCTCTGCTCTTTCTAGTTAATACCTGTAGGTTAGTCAGTTCCCCTCTGGAATCTTCTCACTGGAAAACACAGAAGCTGCGGGCATCTTTGGGCAGGGGCAGGCACTGCTCTCTGAAGTCCTGGAGCCTGAGCCTTGACTGTTGCCTCCCACACTTGCCATGGTGATAGGTTAGGTCACTCGTGGACATGTTTTCAAAAGTGACATGAGGTGTTCCTATGAAGAATAATTATTACTATTCACCATTCCAGGAACATCAGATCTGTTTCTCTTTTTCTTCAGCCTTTTTCATGTTCCATTTAGCCTTGCCCGTGGATGGTGCTTTTTTGGGATTCCAGGCAAATCTCTATTTCTGCTTTTGCTGCTGCTGTTCCATTTCCTTTCCACTCCCCCAAGAGGTCATAAATATATTGTTTGTTCATTATTGTAATAAAATAAACATCACAAAATGTACCGTGTTAAGCACTTTTAGGTGTGCTGCGGCCTTAAGCACATTCACATTGTTGTGCAAGCATCCCACTGCCATCCATCTCCAGAGCTGTTTTATTTTGTAAGACTGAAACTCTATACCCATTGAGCAACACCTCCTGGTTTCCCCCTCCCGCTGCCCCTGGCAACTTGAGTTTGACCATGCTGGGTATCTTATCTATGTGGAATAGTACAGTATTTGTCCTTTTGTGATTGGTTATTTCACTTATTGCAATGTCTTCAAGTATCATTCATGTCTGCTTAGAGAGTCGAGGGGTAAAATTCATAGAACTTCAGGTAGCAGATAGAAAAAACATTTTCTCCCAGAAGCCATTATAGACTTGGGTATGGGGGCGGTGCTGAATGGTTTATATACTTCTTTTTTAATGTAGGTACTGTTTACAGCTGCAGTGTTTCTTTCTTGAATAAGAAATAAAATACACTGTGTATCTATATTTTAGATTTCATCTGGGCAGGAGCTGAGCGAGACATGAATCTGTGATATATGGAGCTGGGTAACACCCTTTCTCCCACCTGAGCATTTCCATCTGATGACTTACCTGGGAACGAGTGAACTTCTGTGAAGACTGCTTAAACCATGCTCAGAAGTGGGGTCAGACATACACTGTCTCACTAATACTTTTTGGAGTTCTGGCTACAATGATGTTTCAGAAAAGCAATTTGAATTCTCAAGGGAGAAGTCACTGAAGGTTCAACTAGCTGGCCAGAGACTGCAGTAGGCCTGGTCTCCAGAGAGGGGCAGTGCCAAGGTCCCTGAGCACTCTTGGAGGCAGGCCCAGGTGCCATAACTAGATGACATGCTCAGGTAGACTCTGTCATGCTTTGGGACCCAAAGCATATCTGTGAAGGAAAAGGGGGCCATTCTTCTCTTCCTCTTGGCAGTGACTAGGGCTAACAGGGGCTTGGCAGTTGTGCTGGAGAGTCTCCATCCAGTTCAGCAGAGAAAGCATGGTGGAGGGTGGGCACCGAACGTTCCATGACAGTATAAAGCAGGCAGGATCCTACCCCGACTCTCAGGCCTGATGGAGGGTGTGTGTTAGTGGCTCTAGTATGCAGAGATACAGGCCAGCAGCCTGGGAAGGGCAAGCTGATTCACCTTTACATGTAGAGAGTCTTAGGAGAACTTTATGTGAGACTATAATTCTGGACTGACCGGCTGGCTGGGGCACCAGGCCACTGAGAATCTGATGTTCATATGCATGCAGCCCTACTGCACCTATTGGCTGGCGAGGGCCACCAACCTTTGGGTTACATACGTTTGATTTGTTACTAACATAATTACATGGTATATTCTATTTCCTACTCATTTATCTCATTTAATTTAAAATATTTTTTTCCAAGCAGAGCTACAAAATGCCAGGATGTAGGAATTATATACTTGTTTTGGCTACCTTATGATACTCAGGAAGATATTCTGAGGATAGATGAAACCATTGGTAACAGTTTGTTTTCTGAGTTTAGTCACATATTCAGAGAACAAATAGACATTGAGAAAACAAGAAGCAAGGGAGCCTTGGAACCTACGGAATGTAACTTTTCCATGTGGAGGTTTGTCTGATCAGTTTCCTTTTCAGGGTGGCCATGTTATCTGTAGTTTCTGCTTCCTCTCATGCTTCTTTTACTGTCATTCTAGATTGGTTGGGAACTAAAGGGTGTTTGGTCAGAAGTGACGTGTGCTCTTGAGCCATTTCTGTGCCATCTTCCTTTAGGAAGGTGTTTGAATATTTCTACTTGTCACCTGGGTAGGTTTTAATGAGTCCTGACTCCAGGAGAAACATCTAAATGGTTCCATTTAGCTCAGGTATGGGAGGCCAGGAATGCTAGGCAGGCCCCTAGCCTTCCTTTGTGGGTGGTCCTGGGGACTGAACCCAGGGTCTTCACCACTGAGCTATGTTCCCAGCCTCTTCACACCCCCTTTTGTTCTTTTCTGAAACAGGATCTTGTTATGTAATCCATGCTGGGCCTGAACTCACTGTGGAGCCCAGGTTGGCCTCAAAATCCTGGCAATCATCCTGTCTGAGCCCCAGAGGTCCTTGGATCACAGGTGTGCACCACTATGCTTGGCCTCATCTTTCTTTTGATGGAGATGATGAGTGTCCTGAGCCTTTGAAAACTGGGTTTTCCAGATAGGGTGGATCTCTTAGGGTAAGATGGTTTTGAACTATGGATGGGCATTGGCCTCACTGGACCATGGATGGCTACACGGAGGCATCTGTTGGTGAGATGCACTTGCTTGAGGGCAATAAGTATGGCAACAGTGACTCATCAACACGGGCATCAAATGTTGGTTGATTCTGAGCATTGGTGGGTCTCCCTGTGGTCCCTGGGTGCTGCCTACTGACAGGGGTTCACCTGGCCCAAGTAGGGCATCTCAGTGCTGACTCTCATCATCATGTGGGCACTGAAGGCCTGGAGGCTCTGCTGACTTTTTTCTTGTGCTACTGCCCTCTCACCATGACAATTCCAGTATTCAATCTTGAGGTGAGTCTAGACTGTCATCTGTTGTTTTTCAACTGTTGTTTTTTAAAAAGAAATCTTCAAGCATTTGGAAAAATGTACACAGCAGAACGGAATAGAATAATTCTTGTATTCACTTAATCTTGATTGAACAATTGCTAATATTTTGTCATATTTGCTTTAGTAGAAAATCTTTAAGAAGCACTTCAAATTACACTGTAGATTTTTCACACCTAACCACTTTGATATTGAGCATATATCCCACGTGAATGAGAACATTTGTCTAGATTATAACAATACAGCTATCACACTGAAGAAAATAGTAATTAGTTAATATCATCTGATTTAAGTTGTGTATTCAAATTTTTCCCATATGAATTTTAAAATTGATTCTTGAGAACCAAGATTTAATCAGAGTTCATGCATTATATTTAGTCATGTTTTAAAATCTAATTTATTCTGAAACAATCCCACTTTTTGGTTACATCTGAGGAATTAAGCCAGTTGTATTGTAGAATGCTCCCTTTCTACTGTTAGCCTTTATATTTTCTATAAATTAGAATTGCATTTAAAGGATTGATTAGATTTGCTTAGTAATTTTGGCATGATGTTTATTTTCTTAAATGGACACACATGATGTCCTATTCCCCTATTTGCCTTTTGAATCCCCCCCACCGCTTTTAAAAAGCAACCCAAAAATTGCTTTTTGTCCCCACTGCTATTACTACTTAACTATTTCACAAACTCATTTTGAAAGTTGAAATCTGAGCATTGACTCTTTTCTAAGCCATGACAATTCTCTTTTTTCCGGAGGCAATGCGTAATTCTCACTGGGGAGAAACAAAGTACAAGGAGATGACAAAATGAAAAGCGTCTTGATGGGTGTTTTAAGCATCACTCCTGTACACCTGTGAAGAATACAGTTGCTCACTGTGGAGGGTGTGGCTTCTGAAGCAGGTGAGAAGAAAGAGGAAGCAGAAGACTTGCTCCACAGAGCTAGAGGACATTTCCGAGAGCCCCAGGCTGGATTCTTATTTGTGCCTCACCAGGAACATGGAACTTTGGTCCTTTCCTGATACGAGATCCCAAGGATAAAGCTTATCATGCAGCTGTTCACATTTGTCAGCAGTGCCATCATACTTAATATTTTTGCTGTTGATTCAGTTCTCAGGGATTTGTACTAAGACAAATTAACTATAAAATTCCTCTTGATTCTGAATAGAGTCTTACAGAGTTTTTGTCTTGTTTTGACTTTTGTAAATAGTCTCATGTATCTGGTAGGGAATGGATCAGTGGCTTCCATTTCATAGGGGGGAAAAAAATCAATCTTGAACTTCTTCCCTTTTCAGGTTAATAAATGTTTATTGAACTCTTATTCTACACCAGGAGCTGCATTAATCCCTGGGAACATGAGTTACCTTGAGCCCACATTTTTGTTAGTAGTAAGTAAGAAGTCACATGAACAGATATTTTTACTATAAAATGACAGAGGTAATTACTAGGTGTCAAAGGATCCATATGAAAGGCATAACTCGGTTCTCACTTCTAGAAAAGATGCAATCTGAGCTGGCAAAGTGGACAAAAAGAGCCCTGTTGGCTTATTCTCTGTGGAATTCAAAGTATCCTGCATGTGGTAGCACTTAGTGCATGGTCTGGTTCATGGTAGACATTCAATACAGTGAATTTGTGAAAGAAATCTCAGGGGAGAAAATTTTATAAGCACAAAAAAGCATGGGAGACTACAAGTAGTTCAACATTACAATATTAATTCTTCTGGATTCATAGACTTCTTTGGAAAATGAATGAAAGCCATGGAGCTTCTTTGTAGACAAATAAACATATGCTCAAACTTTAACAGATAATTTTAGGGACAATAGATATCCTTGAACCCCATACTCATTAAGAATCTCTATAGTAGTGTTGGGAACATAAATATATTAATTTTATTGTATTCTAAAACAGGTGAAAGGTGTGCTTAGTATTATTTCTGATGCCTCATGAAGGATGTATTACACTGTTACCCTGAAAGCAGATATTTTATGGAAGAATTAGCAGAAATAATTCTATAACAGACAATTTAAACTGATTTAAGGATAAAGTTGTATAAAGGGAAAGAGCAATGGGATTAAGAATGCATGAGATAAAACTGGCAATTGTTGGTATTTGGATGGATTTAGATTAACAGGGAGAGTTACAATTGACTTTCAGTTCTTTGAATAAGTGGTGGATGGTGATGATATTGACACAGGAAATGTAAGGAAAAGGTTGTTGTGGGAATGGGATGATGGAGAATCTGAGGGTGGGAGAAGCAAGGAGTTTGGGTTTGAACACGATGAGGTCACCAAGTAATGATAGACAAGAGTGAAGTAGGGGGGACAATGGGGAGAGTCCATAGACCTTAGTGGAACAAAGTATTATGGAAGAGTAGAGGTATGCATTTTAGAAACTCACCTGGGCAGTGGGGAGGACTGATGTTCACTTCCAAGTCTAAGGAATGTGAGGAATGGGGTTGATGAGGTAATTCCCCAAATGAGGGAATGCTGGAAGGGCAGTCTTCAAGGAGGTATATTAGTTCTCTTATGGCTGCTGAAACAAAGTCTCACAAATTGAGTGGCTTAATTAAAACAAGAGAAAAAAATTTTTTTGGTACCAGGGATTGAACTCAGGAAAACAAGAGAAATTTATTATTACACCACTCCAGAGGATAGAAGTCAAAACCTCTAAGTTGCCATTTTTCAACCTCTGGTAGACTGTTGGTGATCTTTATTGTTCCTTGGTTCTTTGAAGTAAATGCATTTCTCTAATCTCTGCCTTTCCCTTTGTGTCTCTAACGCCATGTAATTATCTTCTGATAAGAACACCAGTCATAGTGGCTTAGAGACCAATGCTTCCTCAATATGACCTCATCTTAACTAATGGCATCTGCGGTGATCCTTTTTCTCAAATAAAATAACATTCTAGATATTTGGAGTTTGAATTTTAACATACCCTTTCAGGGGACAAGTTCTGCCCATAACAGGAAAGATAGTTTTTACTCCAGAAGACATGGCGAAACATACTTTTGCTTTAAATGGAGATTTTGTAGCCATCATCTCCAAAATGCCTGGATAAAATGGTTAAAGGTTATGATGGTGGGTGGTGGGGGTTCTACTCAGAAAAAAGGCAAGAGGAAGAACTAACTGACATTCTAAGTGACAGAAGACTGATAAAAATGTGAAGCACGAGGAACCAGATGAAATTCTGGTTTAATGGTCAGCCATGATGAATGTGGCCCATGGCATGGCAAAAACACATTCCACAGCAGGGGACTCTGGGTAGAGGAGCATCCACTAACTGATGTTTGATGAAGTCACTTGCTTTTAGCAGTTTCTCAGAGTTTTCTATACTGTGGCTGAATTTTCCTAAAAGCTGCCAATGTCACTATTTTATTCTTTTAATTATTTTCCTCTTGCTCCTTCTAGCAGGTAGGAAGCAGTCACAGCTTGGCAGACACTTTGGTGTTCATAACTTCTTTATTTTGGGGGGGAATTTGAAGATTTCTTTTATTCCCAGAGAATTTAAAACAAATCCAATGAATAAACTTGTTATTGTTTGAGAAAACCTTCTCTATGTACTTACTTCTTCTTTTATTGCCCTTATGAATTCCAAAACAGCAGGGTGAAAGGCAGAAGATGTTAAGTCAAAATGCTGTTATTATACTGCAAAAAATCCTGGGAATAGATCCAGTATTGTTTTCCTTTCTAGAAAATTCTATTCCCTTGTAAGCAAAGATAACTAATGTTCTGCCTACTGCTTTGTATTTTACTTGTTTGTGTTATTTATTAAATAATCTCTTCATTATAGCTTCATCTGTTTTATATCTTATTTAATCCATTTTCATGAAGGATTTATACTCATATTCTCTGGTAGATATAGTTTCATAAAAAGAAGCTCCTACCCAGTATAGCTATGAGTGTCCTGTGAACTTGACAGGAGTGGGCGTCACTACTGGCTGCAGCCCTCTAGAGCTATGCACTGAGGGTGACAGGCCATTGTGGCTCATGGTCAAAGTCAGCACAGTGGGTGGCCTGAAACCAAAAAGTTGTCCCTATACAATGACTTGGGAGTAGAAACAAGTGACTCAAAATAGAAGGTTGGTCCCAAAACTTCAAACTTCTGCAGCTTCAACTTCAGGGAAGCTTTCACTCAAGCAAAGAGCCAAAGGAAAGAACAAAGTCTGTCCTTGCCCCAGTCACTGACCTAAAGTTGAGGAGCTCGTCATATTACCAGCAGATTGTAAACTCTCCACCACCTGTTGTAGCAGGCCTGAAAGACCCTGTTCCCAGTGGGTTTTCTGCAAGAAAATTTTTGATTCCTGTAGTTAGTGAATCTGAGCTTATGTTTCCTAATGACTCTGTGAAAGTAGTGAAGATACAGTATCGTCACACAAAAATTATAGCATTCCTGTAAATCAATAATGAGCTCACCAAGAAAAAAGTGAGAAAAACACTATCATTTGCAATAGCAAATGACCTGTGTGTAGATGTCCCCCCAAAGCTCCATACAGTCATAGGTGGGGCTTTTTCAGAGGTGGCTGGATCTAGAGTGAGTGACGCTGAGACTGATTCATGGTGCAGTGCTAGGATCAAGGGCGCTAGGACTAAGAGTGAGTGCTACCTGCCCTAAGTAGCCTTGAATAAGACGTAAGGGATAGAAAGAGCTGTGGTCATCCCTTGCTTGCTTTTGCTGTCTTCTGCCTTCTACAAACTGTTTCTCCTCAGCGATGTCCCTCTGCCATGCCAATCTGCCATGGGGCCAGTCAGCTATGGAGTGAAACCTCTGTAAATGGTGAGCCAAATAAACCTTTCCTTCCTTAACTTGTGAGTATCAGATATTTTGTCTCAGCAATAAGAAAAGTAACTAAGACAAGCAACAAGAGAAATTAAATATTTAGGTATTAACCTAACCAAGGAAGACCTCTATAATGGGAACTACAGTACTCTGAAAAAGGAAATTGAGGTAGACTTTGGGTAGATAACCCCTACTCCTGGATAGGCAGAACCAATATTTTCAAAGTGACCATACCTCCAAATCTGACATAGATTTAATGCAATCCCAATCAAAATACCAATAGCATCCTTGTAGTAGTAGAGAAAATAATCCTAAAATTCTTATGGAACCAGAAGAGACTTAAAAAAGTAATTTGGGGCAACAAGATCAAAGCAGGAGGCCTCACAATCCCAGACTTGAAGTTATATTACAAAGCTACAGTGATAAAAATAGCATGGTCCTGGCACAAAAATAGACACGTGGATCAATAGAACAGAATAGAGGATGGAGAAACAACCCCAGGCACATCTGGAAATCTAATCTTTGACAAAGGGTCAAAAACCTACATTAGAAGAAGGATACTAGGCAAAAGTCTGAGGCGATTACTAGAAGAAAGACATCCTCCTTAACAAATGGTGCAGGAAAACTGGATATCCATATGCAGAAGATTGAATCTAGAGCCATATCTTTCACCATACATCAAAGTAAAATATAAATGGATTAAAGATCTAAATGTTAGAATAGAAACACTTAATCTGCTGGAAGATAAAATAGTTAAAACTCTTGAAGACATAGGCATAGGAAAAGACTTTCTGAATAGAACCCCATTTGCACAAGAAATAACATCAAGACTCAACAAATGGGATTAAATCTAATTAAAAAGCTTCCTCACATCAAAGGAAATGACCAATAGTGTAGAGACTCAACAAATGGGATTAAATCTAATTAAAAAGCTTCCTCACATCAAAGGAAATGACCAATAAAGTGTAGAGACAACCTACAGAATGTGGAAAAATTTTTAACAGCTAGTTCTTGGACAAAGAGCTAATATCTAGAACATACAAAGAACTCAACAAAATTAGAGTTCCCCAAGTAAGAGAGTCAACCAAAAAATGGACAGCACTTCTCAGAAGAAGTACAAATGGCTAATAAGTACTTGAAAACATTTTCAATATCTCTGGCCATTGGAGAAATGCAAATTAAAACAACACTGAGATGTGAGATTCCATCTTACTCCAGAAAGAATGACTATTATCAAGAAATCAAAAAATAACAAATGATGGCAAGATTGTTGGAAAAAAGGAATTCTTCCCTTTTGCTGGTTGAAATGTACACCACAGTGGAAATCAGTATGAAGGTTCCCTGAAAAA